CATAAGCTTTCGTGGGCTACTGCCCACTTCTTCGGATGCATATGCTCTAATAAATTTGTTAGTCTCTAAGGTGCCACAAGTACTCCTGTTCTTTTTGCGGATACAGACTAACACGGCTGCTACTCTGAAACCTGTCACTGATGTATATGTTGAGGGAAACACTGTGGACATTTCTGTGAGGGAGAGGAGGACTGTGCACATCAGCACGTGTCTCTGTGGCAGTAGTGGGCCTCTACACATTGATGTGTGTGTACTGGGGGGTTGTACACACCGCAGCATGTGATGTGCGTATGTGTAGGGGGGCTCACCAGCGTGTGTTGTATGTGTAGATGGTAGGAGGCTTGTATACACTGATGTGTGTGTGTAGGGGCGAAGGGGCTTGTACACACACCAATGTGTGTGGTGTGGGTGTAGATGGCAGAGGGCTCATACACATTGGTGTGTGTGTAGGGTGACAGGATTTGTACACACTAGTGTGTGTGTAGGGGGCTTGTACACACTGATGTATGTGGCAAAGGGGCGTATACTGGTATGTACAATACTCTCCCCCAACGTACACTGGCATACATAAGGCACACACACACTGGCATACACAACACTCTACACCAGCTAGGGTGACCAGATGTCCGGATTTTATAGGAACAGTCCCTATATTTGGGGCTTTGTCTTATAGGAGCCTATTACCCCCTCCATCCCCTGTTCCGATTTTTCACACTTGCTGTCTGGTCACCCTAACCCTGGTGTGCACTGCGTGTCCTCTTCACATACACACATCTGCCTGCACACAATGCTCTCCTCAATGCGCCCACATGCTGCCATATGCAAAGCCCCCACAACCGCACACACACGCTAGCATGCACAACATCCCACCCTCAAAAAAAAACCCGCGCAGACATACACATGCACAGAGCCCCCCCACAACCGCACACACTGGCCTGCTCAAGCTCTCATCTCACTTTCTGCTCATACATACCCTGTGAGATGCAGGAGTCCCAACACAGCGGGGGGGAGGGGGCGGAGAGAAGCTCATACAAACTGCTGTGTGTTGTGTGTAGGGGGGCTTATACGTGGTGATATATGTTGTGTGTTTGGGGGTAGCTCGTACAAAGTGCGGTGGGGGGGCACGTTCGCAGCGGCGCGTGTTGTGGAGGGGGGAGCTTATACGCAGCAGTGTGTTGGGGGGGATCGTACAAGTCCCGTGTGTTGGAGGAGGCCGGTGCACACCGTGGGTGCGCGCACTAGGGAATCGCGCCGCAGGAGGAGGAAGGGGGTAAATGGGGACAGTATCTCGCCCCCAGTACGGGCGGGGCGAGGCGGCTGAAGGCCGGCCCCTCACCTCAGTCACCTCCCCTCCCCGCCCGCAGCGCCCCCCTAGTGCTGGCGGCGGCGCCGGGCGCCTCCTTTGTGATTGGCGGGGCGGCCCCGCCCCCTGCGCGGTGTCGGGCGCAGACGAGGCAGAGGCGCCATTTTGCGCTGCCGCCGCTGCCTGCAGGACGGGTCCGGAGGCTCTGCGGGGAGGGAGGCTGGAAGGAGGCCGCTGCCCGTGACTCGCGTCCCCGTTCGCTGAGCGCAGCAACCAGCACCCCGCCGCCATGAGCGACGTGGAGGAGAATAACTTCGAGGGGAGGGTGAGTGGCGAGCCCACCCGGGCCGTGCTGGGGGAGGCCGGCCCAGTCCTCCAGGGAGTGGGGGAGGGGAGAGGCGCTCTTTTCCGGCGGGCCGGGAGGCGCGTTAGCTTCTCCCTAAGATGGCGCCCCTCGGCGGCGCTGAGCCATCGACGCCTCCCGCCGCTACCCCCACCGGGCTCTGCGCTGGGCCGCTGTCCGCGCCCCGCTGCCCTTCCTCGCCCTGCCTCCTCCCCTTGCTCCCCACCATTTAGCCACGGGGCGCCCTGCTCTGCTGGCCCCAGCACTCGCATTTCTTGATGCGGGCGATGCGCCGGGCTACCTGCCCACCCAGAGCCGGCTTTAGGAAGTGCGGGGCCCGATTCGAACAGTTTTGACGGGCCCCCCGGCAGGGATGACTGAAAAAAAAAAACACGTAAAAAAACATGTGGGGCTTGTTCTCACCGGGCGGCACTCGTAGTCTTCGGCGGTTTGTCCTTTACTCGCTCCGGGTCTTTGGTGGCACTGAAGGACCTGCTGCTGAAGTGCTGCCGAAGACCCAGAGCGAGTGAAGGACCCGCCGCTGAAGTGCCGCCGAAGACCCGGAGCGCTGCCGGGTGAGTAAAAATTAAAAAGGAGCCTCTAGCCAGGGAAGGGATTCTCGGCCACTTGCCCCCACCCCGGCGGCCCTGCCACTGGGCGCGGGGCCCTCTTAGGCGCGGGGCCCAATTCGGGGAAATTGGTGGAATTGGCCTAAAGCCGGCCCTGTGCCCACCTCCCGTTGAGCCCGCCGGGGGTCCCTTGTCACCCGCAGCCCCGGGGAGCGCGCTCTGGGTTTTGCCGGAGCCCTTCTCTCTTCTCCCCTTTTCGGGCTCCGAGTCCAGCTCGCCCATCTCGAGCCCCCAGGTCTACGGGCTCCCACTTCTGGAGCTCCTCTACCCGGAGCCTGGGCGTTGGAGGCGGCGCTGTGCCAGCCCTTGGGGCGGGGGGGATCACGACGTGTCAGCGCTGGTTTGGTTGCGCTTTCTTTGTCAGGCAGTTAATGGCTGCGCCTGTGTGAGAGACGGGCCATGTCACTGCCTGAGGAGCGCAGGGACCAGCCTCCTCTTCCCTTCCGATGGCACGTTATCGCGATTTCCTCTGAGCCAGATTCCCAGTGCCACCTGGGGTCTCGGCTGCTGCCCCGTGTAGTTCACTGATGATCCGATTGTACCCCACCACTCCCCCTGTGCCACCTACCGGGGTGTGGTGGCCCCTGGCCTTGTTAGGCTGTGCGCCTCACTCACCTTCTAATGGTTGCTGCAGTCTTTCTGTACACGTGTGAATGGTCTCTGTACACTTTTTAGTGATTGACAAAGGCAGGAATTAGAAACTGCTTGGTACTATTTGAAACATGGGACAGATGTTCAGGTCCATGTGGTCACTGCCCTCATCCTATCCCTGTTTACCTCAGTTTTATTGTAGGAAATCTTTAGTGTCCTCTCAAGAGTTGCTCTTGAAGAGAACTTGAGGAGCTTTTTTGTGACCTTCTCTGATGAACCAGTGGCAGCAGCTTTTGCAGCAACCTGATGCTGCCTAGGGAAATGACCAATGAAATTCTGACAGTGCAGTGTTGTATTCCAACAAGTATCTCTACTGAAATAGTGCTACTTTTGTAACACTAAATAAAAATAGTCCCTAGGCTAGAAGCACCATACACTGCTATAGTATTGGCTGCCGCTTCCTCAGGTGAGATAAAAACAGTTCTAATGTGGATTATTCTGGCAAAAGTGGCTTTGTTAGCTGTGTATTTCTGATTTAATTAAAGTAATGAGTAAATGGAAAATGAACTTGTATATTTAGATAGTTTGAAAAGCTTGGGTAACAAACGTGCTTGCTTGTCAGTAATTCTTTACAGTTTATTATGTTCTTTGAGCACTAGTTTACCATGAATTTTTACTATGCATTTCGGTATCTTTGTTTTTTTGTCAAAGATATTTTGTCATCTGTTTCTCTAGTTTAAGAGAACAGTTGTTGTTAGGAAGGTGATGAAACTGATGAGCTTCAGAGTTACTGTATGTTTTCCACTGCCTGATGTTGAAATAGGAGGGTCTACTCTAAGCATTTCTGAAGCTAGGTTTCTGTGACTGCTGTTGCAGTTGGTCCCCTCTCTGTTTAGAGGGGAAAGTTTACTTGTCAGTGTGTGCCATTAGTCTTACTTCAGTTCTTTTGGGAGTACACTTATCTTTATTTCCAGTGATGATGAAATTTCTTAACCAGCATAGCAAATGGCAATGTATTTTCCATTTTATGGTCTTCCATGCAGCTAAACGCAATAGTAGAGAAAATTAGTGATATGTTTACTTTTGTTCATATATATCAGAACAGAAAACAATCACAAACACTAATTCCCGTTACTCTAGGAGTATTCTAAAATTATTTTTCATCTTTTCCTTTTGCTTTGTGTAAAACATTATTTTAAAGAGGCAATAAATCTGCCTTGCGTTTTCGCTTGTGAACGATTTTGAAGATCCATCTGTTGACCACTTCTCCCAAATCCAAAACTCCAACAAAAGTCAATTACACTAAAGTTAATTAAAAATAAAATTGAAGTACTGTATGGTGCTGCTTAGTTAAGTACGTGTTCTTCACTACTTCAGCCCAACCAGCCATACCTTAATCATCATGTGTCCTTGATACATGCATTTCTGAGTGTTTTATTGTGTTTTAAAATAATATTAATTGAACTGAATTACCACTGTTGTGGATGTCATAAAAGCCTAGCTATGCTAAAGTAGCTTTAAAAGTGTTGCAGACTGCCTTAAGAATTGCACAATGTGTGATAAACCATACAATTTAAAATGACTTTCAATTTTTAAAAAATCACACTTCTCTCTGAACTTATTATATGTACTATTGCTACAAGCACAAGTTTACTGTACTTGAAAATATTAGAAAAATAATTCTCTAGCTTTGTCAGTTTTTACTTTGCATTTGTATGTATATATAGTCAGTTTTACTACTTTCCCTGTATAATGAATAAGACTTATAGGGGTGTCTTACCCATCCACATTGTAGGCTAGAACACGCACACTAAAGATAAATGTGATTTGCAAAGCCACAAAATTGGGAAATCTTGGTGTAGGAATATAGGCCTACATGAGACCTAAGTAAACTATGATTTTACATAGGTTAAAATCAAAACAAAGTGGTAAGTCTGAAGCATGCAGCCAATAAAAATGAGAGGGATTGTTTGTGTTAAAACTTATAATGGCCCTGGAAATATTACTGTTACCTTATTGAGGGTTTGAGCTAAGCAATGGAAATAAAGGAAACGTGGTTAATTGAGCACCAGGTGCAGTAAATAATAAGTTAGAAATGCTTAGTCAAGCCTTGCAGCTAGGGAAAAATATGGCAAAGTGAGATAAGGAAGTATGGTGCAGCCCTAAACTGCTTCAGCTGATTTTAGCTAAGGTCCAGTAACCAGCAGTGATATCACTTAACTTTTTATGCAGGTTCGTTGTCAGAGTTTTCTTTAGTCTTCTAGAGACATGGCATGATAGGGGAAGGTGTCTCCCGATCCTGAACTTATTGTAAGCATGTTGGCCAATGCTTATAACTGTATTATTGTTAGGATATAGGATATAAGGACATATTCTTATATTGCTCTTTTGGATGTAACTTGCACCAAGTGGCCTTTGAACCAATAAAGGAATGCTTGTATGGAAACTGAGTCATGCCAAACCTTAATACAATTAGGGAAATTTCCATAACTTGGCTAACTAGCAATTGAAGCTATTTAAAATTATTTTGTTGAAGTTGAGTAGATTCCCAGTTGATTTCTCTCTTAAAGGTGATCTAAGAGGAAAAAAGGGCATGTGCATTTTTTATATATGATGTGTATCAGTGGTTCTCAAACTATTGTACTGGTGACCCCTTTCACATAGCAAGCCTCTGAGTGCGATTCCCCCTTATAAATTAAAAACACTTGTTTATATATTTAACACCGTTATAAATGCTGGAGGCAAAGCGGGGAGGCTGACACCTCACGACCCCCATGTAATAACCTCATGACCCCCTGAGGGGTCCTGACCCCCAGTTTGAGAACCCCTGACGTATATGGAGGACTAGGAAAGTGTTTTAAAAGAAAAAAAAATCCTTCTTGTTTGGGAAGAGGATTTTTATTCATAGTGACTAAATCTATTTAACACTTGATATTTTGGATAAATATATAAAGGAAGGCTTTATTAATGATTAAATAGCCTCACCTTTTCAGTTAAGGTGCTAATTGATGTGGCAAACACTAGGACCTTCCCAAGTGAATATGGTGGTTGCTAATTGCAATACTAAGATGAAGTCTTCCTTTTCCAGCTTCCAGGGGATCATCAAGAGTGGACTTTTTGTCATATCCCTGGATTTAAGTCTGGTTTATAGTTCCATTTTCTGCTCAGACCCTAGGCCAGGGGTTCTCAAACTTCATTGCACTGTGACCCCCCTTTTGACAACAAAAATTACTACACGACCCCAGGACGGGAGACCAACGCCTGAGCCCCCTGGGCGAGGGGTCCAAAGCCGAGGCCCTAGGACTTCAGCCCCAGGCGGGGGGCCTATAGCCTGAGTCCCGCTGCCCAGGGCTGAAGCCTTTGGGTTTGGGTCCCGGGCAGTGAGACTTTGGTTTCGGCCACAGGCCCCAGCAAGTTTAATGCCAGTCCTGGCAACCCCATTAAAACGGGGTCCCGACCCACAGTTTGAGAACCACTGGCCTAGGCTCATGTACTCACGAAAAAACTTTTTTCATTCTGGTAGCTCCAGTTTGGCCTTTGTTACCTTTTGGTTCCCAAAACTGTAAGTAAGATTTTGTCCTCCCTCAGGTCAGGGGAGTATTGTTTCTTGTTTCAGGGACAATACTTCACTAGAATCCCAGTTATCTATGTCTAAAAGAATGGTTTTATATATTATGTATGAGATGACATGGATTGAGTAAATTGTAGTATTGCATTTTTAACATACTCTGCGTATAGGATGTTTTCGGAGTGAAATAAAGA